TTTTTCGAGACAAGGTTTCTCTGTAGTTTTGGTACCTGTCCTGGATCTCACTCTGTACACCAGGCTGGCCTCGAACTCACAGAGATCCACCTGGCTCTGCCTCCCGAGTGCTGGGATTAAAGGCATGTGCCACCACCGCCCCACGGGATAAGCATTTTTTAAACATTTCTTTTTATTTTTGTACATGTGTGTGCCCCATGTGAGGGGCCTATGGAGGCCAGAACTGGAGCACTGGATACCCTGATGATGGATCACAGGCAGTGGGTACTGGAACCCGAGCCTGGGTCCTCCACAAAAGCATCAAACATCCTCAACCACTGAGCCATCTCTCTAGCCTTGGAATGAGTACTTTTAAAGATGGGTAGCTGGGGGCTCAAGAGGTAGCTCAAAGGCTAAGAACACGTGTTGCTCTTGCGGAGGAACTGGCTTTGATTCCCAGCACCCACATGGTAGCTCACAACCATTTGTAACTTCAGTTACGGGGATCTGACACCCTCTTCTGACTTTCTTGGGCACCAGGCACGCTCACAGTCCACAGATATACATGCAGGGAAACACTCAAACATGTAAAATAAAGCAGATAAAGCTTTAAAAAAACACCTTTACACAGAGGGGTAGCTGGGAGGGTCTTGGGTTTAGAGGGATGAAAATGGAGAATTGACAACTACCTGTGGGTGCTTGGGAGAGTTGGGGGGGAGAGGGCCCCAAACACGGACCGTGGGACACGCAGTAGTGGGAAAGCATAACCTTGGAAGGCGCAGACAGCTGCCGGGAGTTGAAAGGTGGCGTGCTTAGGCTGCCGGGCTGGAGGGTGTGGAGCGGAGCGTGAGGACCAAGCGGCAATATGGATGGAGGCGTGGTGTCCTCCACGTTCTGTTACTGGATGGTCCCACTACGGGTATAAAAGGCCTCTACATTGTCTTAAGGACAGGAATGAAAAGATGGGAAGCAGCCCATGGGGCCCTCAGAGGGTGCCTGGAAACAAGTCACACTGGAAAGGCACAGCAAAGCCACATACAGCACAAAAGACCTCAGGTGGCACTCAGTCACTGCCTGGCCTGCGCCTTGCAGTATACTCAATAAACCATACTGAGGGAGGGAGGGAGGGAGGCAGGGAGGGAGGCAGGGAGGGAGGCAGGGACAGAGGGAGGGAGGGAGGGAGGGAGGGGAGGAAATGCTGAAGCTCTGCATCATGGTGCATGGTTGTGATACCAGCAGTTGACAGGCTGAGGCAGGAGGACCACTGCCAAGTTGGAGGTCAGCCAGGGCTACACAATGAGTTCAAGACCAGCCAGGGATACAGAATTAGGCCCTGTCTCAAAACAAACAAAACCCCAAACAGACAGACAGGGAGAAGGAGAGTGAGACAGAGACAGAAATAAATCTATCTGTGGCACATGCCTTAAATCCCAGCAATTGACAGGCAGCGGCCCAAGGATCTCAATGAGTTCAAGGCTAGCCTGATCTACATAAAAAGTTCCAGACCAGCCAGGAGTACATAGTGAGACTCTGTCTCAAAAAATAAATAAGCTAAAAAAAGTTATTATTATTATTATTATTATTATTATTATTATTATTATTATTATAAATATTTGAGAGAGAGGAGAGACTGAACTTCTAGGAATTGAACCCAGGGTCTTACAAATGCCAGGCAAGCAGCTATCCCACTGTGGGCTTCTGGGAGGCGACTCAGTGACAGCCCCACACAAGCATGAGGACCCGACTTCAATCCTCAGCACCCACAGCCAGGCACAGCAGCAGATGCCTGTAATGCCAGCCTCGGTGATGGCAAAACAGGATGAGTCCTGGGGTGTGCTGGCCAGCCAGACTAGCCACACTGATTACCTCCAGACTCAGTGAGAGACTCTGTCTCAAAAAACAAGGTGAGGAGCAATTAAGGAAAACACCCAGGACCGACCTCCAGCCTCCTCACACGTGACACCCAGACATGCACACCCAGACAGCGCGCTAGAGATCTAAAAAGCAAACTAAAGCCCAATAAGGTTTATGCTTGCAGCCGCCGCGAGCATGCCAGGAGCCTCCTGACATGGCCTGCTGGAGATGGGGCCATGTAGAGAGGCATCCACAGACAATGGAAAGCTGACTGTCCACAAACTGCCTGGAGTGGACAGAATACAGTATCACACAGCCACTCACAAGAGTGCACCCTCTACTGGTGGGGTGAAGGAACCACATGGCTGCAGCCCTGGTACCTAGGCACCCCAGACAACTAGACATGTGGGGTCTCTGTCACCTGTGATCTCAGTGCTAGGAGGCAGAAGCTGGAAGACCATAAAGGCTGGGCCAGCATGAGAGAGACCTTGTCTCAACAAAAGAGTCCAGCAGAACTGATTCAAATCTCCTCTTCCATGCCCACGTCCACGGGGATCGAGGGTGGTCACCTCAGTGAAGGCTGCAGAGTCGTTGCTTAGGATAGAGGTGTGTTCTTCCCACCCTGCTAATCCCCTTATGGGAACTTATCAGAGAAACCTTCACACGTGAGCCAAGGAGCCGTGTATGGGAACTGAGCTCAGCGCTCACTAACAGGCTAGCCAGTCAGCGGATTTGCCATGGAATGCTATACAGCAATTAGGCTGCGGCCTCCAGCCACAGTCTAAAGGAGTAGATCTCAGAGAACAGCAGGCCAGGACAACGATCTGTACAAAGGGCACCGTTAGCACAGGCCAAAGCCGCCCTGTGTGCTCCTGCTCTGTCCCGAGGTCCGAATGGCAAGTGCTTTAAACCAGTCCCCTGAATGACAGAACCAACTTCACGTGTGTGTGAAATTTTCTGGGGTCTTCCTTGATCCTTCTCCGTTTTCTTTTGGTTTTTTTGTTTTGTTTTGTTTTGATAGTTTTTGTTTGTTTGCTTGTTTTGTTTTGAGACAGGGTCTCTGGATGCAGCTCTGGCTGGTCTGGAACTCGCTATTTAGACCAGGAAATCGGAGATCCGCCTGCCTCTGCCTTCAGAGTGCCAGGATTAAAGGTGTGTGGAGCCCATGGTCCACTCGCCTTAACTTCCTGAGTACTGAATTACAGACACGGGTCACTTCACCTGGCTTTGAAGTATCTTTTTGTTCGTTTTGTGATACTGGGGACTGAACACTGCCCCCGCATGCCAGGCAAGGGTTCTACCACTGAGCTACCTCACCCGCTCCAAAAGGGCTTGGGGGTGCCCTGCAGGAGCAGAGCTGAAAGCTGGGGGAGGGGCTCCCAGCTATGTACGCAGAGGAATGCCACCATGCCCCTCCTCCCACCAGCCTGAGCAAGGAGGTGACCTCCACACACTAGCCCAGGTGTCTGTGCCTGGAGGCGTGCACTCGGGGCTTCCTGAGGTCCCCCTGAAGCAAAGCTGCAGTCCTCCCACACTGGCGTCCCCTGGCCTCACCGGAAGAGCACAGAAGAGAAGCCCAGTCCTCAGCATCAACACCTACAGCAAGAACAGCCATCATCGGAGGCTGGGCTGGTGTGAGGTACCGCTGGCATCAGCAGCCTGGGCCTCCCAGGGCCTTGCCAGGTCTGGAAAGAATTCCCCGAACAAGCCGAGGCTTGGGGTGATGCAAACCGTGGATGGATGGAGCTGAAACCACACACGAGGGAAGCCAAAGCAGACTGAGGGCCAGGGGCTTCACTGGCCCAGAAGAAGGTACATGGAGTAGGGACTGAAGGGCACTGGACAGTGAGCTGTCCACAAGAAGAGTCCTCAGCAATGGCTGGGCTCAGCCCAAGATGGGAGGGCAGAATGCCTGGGGATCCCAGAACAAAGTCTGGTGGTGACCTGACAACTTCCAGATGCCTACCACGGCCCCACCCTGCAGTGGGAGGGCCAAGGCGCTGCAGGGAAGCCAAGGAACCAACAAAGGCCGGCCTCAGGTGGAAGGCATTGCCTGAGCCTCAGTCTGAAGAGGTTGGAGTCCTGAGTCTTGTCTCAAGTTCTAAATGTTCCAACTGGCACCTGCCAGCCAGAAGCTGCAGAGAACAGATCCTGTTCAAGACGATGATTCGGGCCTCAGCAGGACCATGGGGAGCCTGGAAGGGGCTCCTGCACCCCAAAGCCCCCAGAAGGTGATGGGTGGAATCTGGGTCCCTCTGTCCTACTTCACTGTACAGGCTGAGCCACTGAGGCCAAGAGGACCTCCAGGGGTCCCTGTACCCAAGCCTCGGGAAACCACAAAGGAGGAGACAGAGGCGTGGGAAGAATGCAAGAAGTCAAAAGGGTATTTGTTCTACTAAGTGGCTTTTTTGTTGTCAAAAATTGGCCCCAAGCTATCCACTGGAAGCCAAGGGCATATCTTCCCCTACCACAGCCACCTCCCTGTCACCTGCCTGCCACACACCCGTGTCCACACAATCCCTTCCCTGCTCTGGCAGCAGCCGGGGGCCCCAAGAAACCTTCACCCTTCTCTGCCCCTCCCGCCTTCCTCTCCCTTCCCTTCTCCCTCCCCCCACCAGGAGAGCCAGGAGGCAGACTCCCAATAAAACCAAAACACAAAAGCCAGACTAAAGCCTCCCCAATGTTCTGGCACAAAAGACAGGCAGACTGGAGTTCAAACCCCACCAGGACAGAAATATTCCACACGTGCACTGTGATGCGCAGGCGCCCACACACACAGCGGTGAAACCTTCAGCACTTGGGATGTGGCAGCATTTGGCTCAGATGTAACCGTCGTGGGTACACAGGAAGTTTGAACTCACCCAGCTAAAACCCTGAGAGAGACGAGGGTTTGAGAGACAAAGAAAATAAGCAAACGACACAGGACTCAGAGCACGCCGGACTCACGCGAGGCAGAAAACTAACCAGGTCGGAACTGGAGCCAGCGGTCAGGGAAGGTCAGACCGGAGCCAGGAGCAGGGACAGACACTGCAGAGGGCAGATTGTGGGGTGACAGCGGGGACAGTGGGGACAGGAGGTGCGGAGGTGAGGGGTGGCCAGTCACTGTGGGGAGTAGAGGGGGCTGTGGCCAGGGGGAAGAGGGAGAGCAGCCCCATGCAAAAACAGGGTGAGGGACCGCAGAGCCAGGTGTGGGCTGATGGTGGTGTGGAGGGCTCAGGACCAGAGGTCATTCCCACACGGCGGCTGAGGCCCGCCTCCACCTATGGCATCCCCTGAGACAAGCCAGAAGTCCATGACGGAAACATGGATAGAGACGCGCTGATGCAGGGCCCTCTCCAGGCCAGGACCCCCCACCACTCCCAACAAGACAGGAAGGACCCCCAGCAGCAAGCAGCAGAAGGATGCCGTCAGCCTGGCCTCTTAGCCCCACCCCTGCCCAGCATTTAGACTGACAACATCACCCACCAGCCTCTCCCAGAGGACCAACCGCACTGCAGACCTGGTGGCATCATGCTGGCATGTTCCTGCCTGCTCCCACCACGCCCAGGCTCCGACTGTCTAGTGCATGTCAGCCTCAGCCCTCACAGGCAATCCCCTGCTTGGCCCAAGATCAGCCAAGTTGTCCTTCATCCAGCCCTGCTACTTCCAGGGCTATGGAGCCCACCACCATGGAAGACAGAACCTCCTCAGGGGAAAGCCCTTGACTAGGTCACGGGACACAGCCATGCCTGGGCTCGGGGGTTCCATCCAGCAGGAGCCACACACACACAGCCTGAGGCAAGTAGATATGAAGAGTTAAAAGCTCCAGTCCCTTCACCTCACACATGGGGAGACTGAGGCACAGGGAAGGGTTCTCCCTTGGGCCTCCTGAGGCCTGAGCAATTGTCTTTCCCAGTTTTATTCCCTTAAAAAAAAAAAAAAAAAAAAAAAAAAAAAAAAAAAGAAACAGTCACACAGACAAAGAAAGCCCTGTGAGTGGCTGGGAATTCGGGGAGAATGGGCCCCTGGCCAGAAGGGGGTGTGCCAGGGAAGGGGGTGTGGTCTTGGAAGGAAAAGCAGAAATGTGCCATGCCAAGATGATACACTGCAGGCCAAGGTTAACACAGGCTGAAGAGGGTGGTCTCGGGCAGACTGGGGAGACAGACCCAGACCCAGGTCCGGGACCCTGCGGCCCAGGAGGGATGCTCACAGCTGGTGTGGAGGTCTTACCTCGGAACTTCTTGGGGGGGTTGTCCAGGTCCCCAGCTGCAGGCTCCACCACACAGCGGTCATCCACCAGCCTAGGGGACAGAGCAGCTTGGTTAGAGGGAGGGAAGAGACACATCTCCTGTGGAGCAGGGAACTCTGGGAGCACGAGGGATGATGTCTGGAGTTTCTTCCATCGCTGGAACCTGCCATGGGCATTCTCTTTATGGCACTGCCATTAAAAGGCAAGGCCTCTGAAACTGGAGCCACGCTTTGGCTGGCGTCTGGGCTCTCACACAGTAAGTCCTGAGCCCCTGCTGCCTGGGCAGGAAGGACAGGGAGAGGAAAGGGGCCCAAGAATCAAAGGCAGTGGGAGATGGGAACCGAGGAGGGACAGTTCAGCACGGGAGAGGGTGAAGGCAAGTCAGAGTCAGAGAAAGCGAGGACAAGAAGCAAATGTGATGAGAGACGACAGACAGACAGACAGACAGACAGGAAAAAAAAAAAAAACCTCATGCTTCCCAGACTCAGCCAGGACCTAAGCTAGGGTCTGAAATTCTCTTACAGCTATGGCTGAGGACTTAATCCTGCATCTCTGGGGAGCATCCATCCATGCGCCCTTCCTCACCTACCCATCCATCCATGTACTCATTTACCCATGCATGCCTTTATCCCAGCACTTGAGAGGCAGAGCCAGGTGGATCTCTGTGAGTTTGAGGCCAGCCTGGTCTACAGAGTGAGATCCAGGACAGGCACCAAAACTACATGGAGAAACCCCGTCTCGAAAAACCAAAAGAAGAAGAAGAAGGAGAAG